GAAGGAAAGGTGAAAGAAAAGTTAAAGGTGAGAAAGATGCAAAGACGGGAAGGAGAGAAGAAGACAAAAAGAAACTGGAAAATCACAAGAAAGAAAGATGGACAGGGAAGGAAGGAAGGAAGGACGGAAGGAAGGAAGGAAGGAAGGAAGGAAGGAAGGATTGAAGGAAGGAAGGAAGGAAGCGGGAAAGGGTATAAGGAAAGGAAAGAAGGAGGTCAGCAGGAGGCGTTGAGCTGCTTCTAAAGTAAAGAGAATATTTAGCTGTAAATCCACTAATCAGCCACAAAGAGGATCAACTGAGGATGAATCAATGAATGGATGATGAATGGATGAATGGATGAATGATGGATGGAAGAAAGATAGATGGACGATGAATGGATGATGAATGAATGACGGTTATATGATGGATGAATGGATGATGAATGGGTGAATTTTCACGACTGAATCGTCGGAAAGTTAAAAATCGGACTTATATTTTTTAAAATCTCTTCCTGGATCTGGTAAAAGGTGGAACTTTGGTTTTCCTTCACCAATAAGAATCCTTTGAAGCCGGCCGTTAGGTTTCGGGGCTGCGAGGGTTCAAGCGATGGCCATGTCCCGTCAGATCAGCTTCCTATTGACATCAGATCGGTTTTCTATCGCCTGACCGATCGATGGACCCGTGGAGGGGAGGAGGTTTGATGAGGAGCGTTCAGCCGGCGCTGCTGCTCCACATATGGTCCGGACCTCCCCCCAGAAATCCTCCGACAGCAGCGGATTAAAGCCCGATAAGAGTGTGTGACTGCAGCAGACTGCGAGCAGATGTCCTCTCAGCTCCGCTACCTGCAGCTCCGGCTCTGACAGGAAACGCTGCTTCAAACAAAAACACCCAGAACAACACCAGGAGCTTCAGCCAGACCCCCGAAAGAGACGAATACAGCGGGAATGAAGTCAAGCTAGCCCGGAAACCCAGCAGCAGCTCTGAAAGCCTCGTTATCTAGAACTAATCACCACCATTACATCGTTTATCAGAGCAAGAAATCATCGGGTTTTCAACTTTCCGACGGTCCTTGAACTAGTCATCTGTCAGGAAAAAATCTGCCAAATTAAAATTCACTTCCCTTCAAAAGAAAAAAAATCACCAAAAAGAAATCGTTTGCACTAATTAGATTCAGTAAAAAACAAAAAATTCTGTGTTTCCTCGTGCAACCGTGAAGTCGTCGATGACGTAACTGTGACCGACAGTCACACGACAAAAATTCAGAGTTTGCGGTTGAACTGCAGGCAGAGCAGAGAGGAGACCGGTGGGATTTTTATCTTATTTTAATCGAGCTGGGGAGGAGGGACAGAAAACGAGGTGAAAACTTCAATAAATATGTGAATAATTCTACATTTTTGTCATCCCTGCTGGTTTCTGTCGGTATTTTTGACGCGTTTTGTGCAGCGTGGAACCAATTAGTCGATTACAGTTCATTTTAAAAAGCAAAGATGTTGGATTAGGAGCCGAAAGGAGGTACTGTTGGCTCATAGTTGGTTCAAATAAAATGTTAGAAGCAAATAATTTGCACAGAAAATCTTCTTTTAAGCAAATGCAAAACGTATTTTTCTAAGTTTTTGGTATGTTTTTTTTAATAGATTATTTATTTTTTGCGACTCGCAGCAACATCTTTGTTCTGCTTTTTAGTAAATCGTTTTCATTGGGACTGAAAATGAGGCAAAATAGTTGATAAAGTAAAATAAAACAACTTTGTCATCGCCGCTGGGTCGGTCCGGAGTCTTTAGATGGAGAAATATTTTGATGATTGATTAGTTTTTTAGGGAAAAGAGCTAAAGACGGTTTGAAGTGCAGCTTTAAAGACGTTTTCTAAACTCCTCATCAACTGTAAACAGCAGATTAGTGATTAATTAAAGGAAATAATCAGTGGTGCGGTGGAGCAACATGACAAACACAGTTGTTTACTCTTTCCTCCAACGACATCAAACAAAGCGACAAAACAAACATCGGGTGTCCAGTCAGAACCGAGCTAACGGCAGAACAGAACCGTGACTCCAGAGAGGACGACGTTCAGTTCAACAGAAACCTGAGTCTCTTCAAAGCTTCGGACTTGAAGTCAGGAAGAACAAAATGATCCGAACATGTCGTCTCTGAGAGTCGGACCGAGACGTGGAGAGACGGCGCCACCTGGTGGTCGAGCCGCCGATCGGCTCTGATCTGGGATCAGTTAGAACGAAAGACAGCCGAGGAGCTCGTGGACGTTTTGTGGATTTTTGTCAATTAAATGTTATTTTTACGCTTCGGTTTAGCGATTTAACAGTTTTGCATCTTTTTATGGTCATTTTGTCCCAGTTCTGCTTTGTTTTATGTTAATTTAGCATCTTTTTATCTTAATTCAGCTTTATTTTATCATCATTTTGCGTCTTTTTGTCCCAGTTATGTTTTATTTAATATTAATTTTGCACCATTTTATCATCATTTTGTGTCTCTTTGCGCTCATTTTGCGTGTTTCTAATCTCGTTACCTTCCTGCTTTGTGTCTCAGGTGTGACCTCTGCTGCCTTTCTTTCCGAACCCACCGCGGTTTGTTGCGTCACAACGCCGGCGTTCATAAGCTCCTCCCCCAGGACCCGAGCGGGCGCCCCTTCATCCAGAACAACCCCTCCATCCCCACTGGCTTCAACGACCTGGCCTTCATCGACTTCTCCTGCAAGAAGTTCGCTCACATCGCGCAGGTACTCAGCGGTCATACTTCAGAAACCCGTTTTAAACGAGACTCTTTGGAGGTTTTAACGTCGGCTCCTTGTTCTTGGTCCAGGTTTGGTGTGAGACCAACCTCCGCCGCTGCATCAGTAAGTTCCACCGGTTCGTGTGCGACTGCTGCGACAAGGCCTTCCCGCTGCGCTCGGCCCTGGAGCTCCACAAAACCACCTCGCATCCCGACAGACCCGCCGCCGCCGAGGAGACGGCCGAGGAGGTCGACGGAGACGCCGCTGCAGTAAACGGCGTGGAAGGTGTCGAGAAGGACGTCCTGCCCTCAGAGCAGGAGAACTTCCTGGAGGTCCTGGGCCTCCAGCACTTCTCCAAGGTAGGAAGCTCCGCTCAGGGATTAATACGTTCTCCGTCAGCTGGGCTCCAAATGTTGGAGCAAAGCAGGAGAGAAAACAAATCATGTTGCAGCTTTTCTGGTCGTCTCACTTCATTTCATGGTTGTTTGGCATCTTTCTGTCTTAATTATACACGATTTTATAAATATCCTGCATCTCTCTTATCATTTTACAGCATTTTTTCAGTTTACATCTTTTCATGATCTTTTTTTTATTTTGGGGGACATTCTGCATCATTCCGTCATTATTTTTGCACCGTTTTTGGTTGTTTACATCCTTTTGTGATCATTTTGCGTCCTTAGTGATCATTCCATATCTGTTGTGGCCATTTTGCCCTCATTTTGCTTGACTTTAGAACCCTTTAGCATCGTTTTTGTGGTCATTTTGCATGATTTTTACTGTCTACATGTAGAAATAGTTTCTGTACTTGTCCTTACATCGCTGTCATGTGACTGTTGCTCTCAGCTGAGTCATGTCAGCTTTTTACAGAATCTGGTTTATTTTTTTATTGAGACGCGCAGAATCAAGTGATCTGGATGAATTATCAGAACTGTCTGAGCGTCTTTAAGCGGCTGCTGGTTGTCGTTCTTCAGGTGACGTCTGGTCCCACAGACGATGAGATCCATCAGGCCCACCTGGACAGCATCAAGGTGATCCACGTGGAGCCTCCGTCCTCCAGCCTGCCCCAGGAGCCGGCCGCGGCCTACCTGTCCGGAGGTCTGGGCCTGGCGTTGGGTCTGGGCGGCCTGGCGGCGCTCAGCATCCCTCTGCTGGAGGCGTCCGGCTCGGCGCTGCAGGGCCTCAGCCAGAGAGACGCCCTCAGCCTGCTGTCGCTGCAGCCCTTCCAGACCGGCTTCCTCCTGCAGCCTGACGGGAGCGCCGCCGCCGCCAGCGCCGCCTCGTCGGGCGTCAAACCCGGAGAGGCGGGCGGGGCCGGGGTCATGGAGCTGGCCGACATCCAGCAGATCCTCAAGGTGGCGACAGCGGCGCCGAATCAGATGGGACTTCCTCCTCTGGCCAAAGCTCCGGGATTCACTGGAGGTCAAGGTGGGCGTCGCTGAGCTGCGTCTCATGTGGTTGTTTTTTATTATTTTGTGATTGTTTTACCTTCTTGCCATCATTTTGCTTTATTTTGTCATAATTTTGTATCTTCTCTGGTCGCGTCACCATATTTTGTGGTCATTTTACATCTTTCTGTCGTCATTTTGCAGATCTTTTAAATACTTTTGCATGTTTTTGTGGTTGTTTTTCTTTTTCGTGATAATTTTTGCATGATTTTCAGCATCATTTTGCGTCTTTTTGATTGTCTTACATAATTTTGTGGACTGTTTGCATCTTTTGTGATTGTTTGCTCGCTTGTTGTGGTCACTTTGCCTCCTTTTATGGATTTTGCATGTTTATTTTTTGTTTATTGGTCATGTGGAACAGCTGATTCATAAATTGTTCACTGACTGTGTTTTGGTCCTGCAGGTCAAGTTCAGGGTCAGAAGGCGATGCCTCCACTGAAGCCCAAGCCTCCCATCAGCCCTCGCTCCAGCCTCACGGCGACGACCCCCCCGCCCCTACAGAGCTCCCAGCAGGCCTCACTGGGCTGCATCAGCCCCAGCCTGCCGCCTCCCACCCCCACGCTCTTCAAAACGCCCTCCTCTTCCTCCTCGTCCTCTTCATCCGCCGGGAACGGAGGGCAGATGGACGCAGAGTGCATGGGTGACGCCCACACGCCGCTGTCTGATTCGCCGCCCGCCGCTACCACTGCTGTTCACGAGGAGGCGGGGCTTAGCGGAAGGAAACCAGGAACCAAAGCGGGGAACAACGCCGGCTCGGCTAAAGGCTCGTTCCCGTGCCGCTTCTGCGACCAGGTGTTCGCCTTCTCCGGCGTCCTGCAGGCTCACATGCGCTTCCACCTCGGCATCCTCCCCCACCAGTGCAACATCTGCGACTACGTGGCTCCGGACAAAGCGACGCTGATTCGACACCTGCGGACGCACAGCGGCGAGCGGCCGTACGTCTGCCGCGTCTGCCATTACCCTTTCACCGTCAAGGCCAACTGCGAGCGCCACCTCAGGAAGAAGCACGCCAAGACCTCGAGGAAGGACATCGAGAAGAACATCAAGTACGTCACCTCCACCACCACTGCGAACATCGCGGCGGCCATCACTGCCGCGACCACTCCCACCACCCAGGACACGGAGACGGGCTACACTGGAGCTGAGACCACCTGCCGGTTCTGCGGCGAGGACCTGAAGACCTACCGGGCGCTGCAGATCCACCTGCGGACGCACAACGGCTGCCAGAAGAAGCCGTTTGAGTGCCGGCGCTGCGGTGCCGCCTTCCTGGCCAAACGCAACTGCATCCACCACCTGCTGAAGCAGCACCCCGAGGTGCAGGAGAGGGAGATCGAGGAGCACATCGCCACACTCCAGCCCGCCGCAACCGTCGCCGCCACCCGAGCTACTCCGGTAAATCCAATGGCGCTGAACGGCATCAGCCAGACTCCAGTCCCAGCGCTCCAAGCCGTGAAGGTGGAGGAACTGGCTAACGTGGTGTTTCCTGCAGAACTGGACCAGCCGCTGGACTTCTCGGCTAAAGGCCGCGGAGCCGGCAGCCTCGCAGGATCTCCTGGGGTCAAACTGGAGAGCGTCTCGCCGAGCTTTGACTGCTCGGATCAGCCCATCGACCTGTCGATCCCCAACAAGAGGCAGCGCAGGGAGCCGGCGGCCGAGAGGAGGGAGATCAAGACGGAGCAGGGCGGCGGCAGCATCATCGAGCAGCAGAACGCTCCGTCTAAGGACGAGAAGACGGCCAGCGTCCTGCCTCCCCTCCATCCTCACCCCCAGCTCGGCTGCTACCAGCTGCCCCCTGGATCCACGCCTCCCCCCGCCTCCATCCCCAACGCTGCTCGAGCTCAGCGCCTCAAACCGCTGCTGCCCAAACCCGCCTCGTCCTCGTCGCCCTCCGCCGCCCTCAAAGAGCTGCCTCCTCTGGCCTCCATCGCTCAGATCATCCACTCCGTCTCCGGAGCTCCAGACCTGCTGAAGCGAGAGGCCGCCTCGCTGGAGAGTAAACCCCAGGCCGTCGCTTCGTCTCAGGCTGATTCAGCTGCAGACGCCCCCGGACCCTCGGCCGGTCTGGAGCCGCAGAGCGAGGAGGCGTCTGAAGGATCCTCCAGGTAAGTAAATTAGAACTTTTCATACTTCTGCTGCCTCGTTTATGAAATGTTCTGGATCAACCCTGATGTCCTGTCAAACAGAAGGAGGTCCAGGAAGAAGCCGGCTGCTCTGGCGCTGAAGGAGAAGGTTGTGAGTGGCGGCGGCGGCGGCGGCATCGACTTGGAGTCCAGCGGCGAGTTCGCCAGCGTAGAAAAGATGTTGGCAACAACTGACGCCAACAAGTTCAGCACGTACCTGCAGACTGGAGCTGCTGAACTCGGAGCAAAGACAGGTAGGACAACTTAAGACCCTATAGAGTAGAGAAGTAATAATAAAACCGTGTTACAGACAACGAGTTATAAAAACCGTATTAACCTGTGACCAGATGGAGACAGAGGGGAGGAGAGCGAGGCAGTGGCGAGGGAGGAGGTGAAGCCGGCGGCAGCGATGGCGGCGGTGATGACGGTTCCTCAGGGGAAAGGGAAGAAGAACGCCTACTCCAACTCTGTCCAGAAGATGACCTGCCCCTTCTGTCCACGAGTTTTCCCCTGGGCCAGCTCACTGCAGAGACACATGCTGACTCACACAGGTAACACTCACCTGCTCAGGTAACACTCACCTGCACAGGTAACACTCACCTGCACAGGTAACACTCACCTGC